GCGTGCGTGCGTGCGTGCGTGCAAGCATGCCTGTGTGAATGTGTTGCAGGGTGCAATTCATGGCATGTGACAAGCCGTGTGTGGGAGAGAACACAAGTAGGCACGCAAAGACAATTCACAAAGTCCCACACATATGTGAATACTCACAGTTGCATGACAAGGTAGAGGTGTGATTTACTCTCAAATATGTCTTCCAGAGACACAATGTTGGTGTGTTTGATCCTGTGAAGAGAGGGAAAAAAGGAAAAAGCAGGCGAGAAGTTCAGTTGTTAATTCTGTTCTTCAAGCAGTACTTGCAAAAAACTGGTTTTACATATGATCTTTATCCAGTCTTTATCGATAAGAGCTGTTTGCAGAGAGCAAAATAATAATTTTCTGTCATGTTTTTTGTGGGACACTAATTGCATTTTAGCAGTTTAAACAGAGCTTCCACTGTTCTGCTGCCCCATGTCTACAGATACAGATGCGAGATGGACTCATCAGATTAAGATTACTCTTGTACCTCTGTCTAACCAACGTGTAATGTTAGCACACCTGCAATATGTGTCTCATACAAATGCTAGTGTCAATAAATAACTGTAACCAAACTTTCTGCCAGTTCTTTAAAAGTGATTTACTAACACATCCATCTACAGTCATGTACAAAGGAAAATGCACGCTGTTTCTATCCTGAGGTTTAAGTGATAACATTTTTTAAAAAATGTCTGCTGTATGTCCCTACAAGGTTCTAAAATTACTTAGAGACAACCTAATCTAAAAAAAAAAAAAAATACATACATAACACATTTGATAGGCAGCGTGGCCTTAAAAAAATATCAAGAAAAATGTAAGAAGTGAAGGACAAAAGAAGAAATGGCAGGCATAAAAAGAAAAACAAAAAAGACACCAACAATCTAAAATAGATCAATAGTGTCTGACAGTCATGTCCTCAAGAAAAAAGGAAAAAACAAAGACCTGGCCCATGACCTGAGAGATTTAGCTGGTTTTCCATCTACTGTTCACTGAAGCCTCATCAGAAATGGTCTCAGTGGAAGGGTGGCTGTTAAGAAGACATTTTTGGGGGGAAGAGAATCAAGTAGGAAAGGCTGACGCTAGATTACACAAGAACTGAAATGAAAATGCAAAAGTCTGATAGTGTGAAGAATCCAAATGTGAAACATTTTCTTGAAACTGTTGTCAGTATTTATGGACGTCAGAAAAGAGGCACAAGAGAGAGCATCAAAAGCCATGTTCAAAATACAGTGGAGGTTCTCTCATGGTTTGGAGATTTTGATTGAACATGCAATATGTTCTATAGCTATAATTCTTATTTTTTTTATTTACTTTAACTGTTGATTCACTTTTGACCAAATGAACACACTCAATACTGTATGTTGGAAAGAAGTAAATCACTTTTGAAAAACTGGCAGAAAGTTTGGTTACAGTCTCCATGGTTTCCACAGACCATGGAGACCATCTGACTGGTAACGACTTCATTGTTCAACTTTACAATGGTCCCAAACACACTGACAATGCAGTAAAAGCATACCTGGAAAGAAAAACACACAGTGGATCACTATCAGTCGTGGATTGGTTTCCACAGAGCCCAGACCTCAACATTATTGAAGCAGTGTGGGATCATCTTGGGTGAATGGTAAATGGCCTGTACTTGTATAGCGCTTTACTTAGTCCCCAAGTACTCCAAAGCGCTTTACACTACATTCAGTCATCCACCCATTCACACACTGGTGATGGCAAGCTACATTGTAGCCACAGCTGCCCTGGGGCGCACTGACAGAGGCGAGGCTGCCGGACACAGGCGCCACCGGGCCCTCTGACCACCACTAGGAGGCAACGGGTGAAGTATCTTGCCCAAAGACACAACGACCAAGACTGTCGGAGCCGGGGCTCGAACCGGCAACCTTCCGATTACAAGACGAACTGTCAACTGTTGAGCCACGATCGCCGACAAAACGTGACAGCCAACATCCAAAGAAGAGCTTTGAATGTCCTTCAAGAAGCTTGCAGAACTATTCCTGAACTTTGCTTAAAAATGACAAGGAAGCTGCCTAAAAGAGATTAGACTGTGTTAAAGAATAAAGGTGCTCATGCCAAATATTGACTTTCAAGCTCATAAGTCTGTACAAACTCAGCGTTGATCTTTGGTCTTGCTGTGTTTCCACTGATGTTTGCACATGTTTCAATAAATCACTGCACCTAGTTCCATTTTAGGAGCAAAATATAAAGAAATATGGGTAACTCAATCTTTTTTCACAGTACTGTATCTCAAGAAGAGGTGTTTGTCCTGGTACAGGAACCAACTCATAAAAATATTGCCCCATAGTGCTACCTTTTACTTCAGCTTTGATTATTTTCAGATTTTTCCTTTTCCCTCATCATGCACTCTGAGTGTTTGTTACCTCAGTGCCTGGTCTAAGGTGTGTGTTTGAAGGTTACCGAGTTGAAGGCAGGAAGACAAAGACAACATAAAACCATGTGTCTGAGATGTACCCAAGGTAACTATGTATGCGTCATCCTGTGCTCACGCTGGATTACAGCAATGAGTCTTATCCACCTTCATTCAGCAGCTTAGCTCTGTGTGGAGCGAGAAACGGACATGTGGAGACTCGCATACAGTTTCACACACACGATTACATAAGGTCTGCAACATGTAGTACACATTCTGTGCTTGTGTGGACAATGAACCTACGGGTGGACACGGGTCATTGTGACTGTCAGAAAGCTGAAGTGTCTATTTAAGGTTCGGTCCTCTGCTGACCCCTGTCAGCTTGGATCACAGAAAGTCAGCAAATTAGAGAACAGAGCTGCCAACTTTGCAGTGAGCACGAAGCAAAACTGACACTTGAGTGAAAGTAAGAAAACAGGAAATTCTAGTGATTTTTAAATGCTGCTGATTTTTTATTGATTTATTTAACCCACCCTTTGGATTTTGCTGTCTTAGACTTTAAAGTTAAAAAAAAAAATTTTTCTGTTCACACCTTTTGTATTTTATTGTATTCTTCCAGAGCACTGAGTGGGCCAACCACAAACGAAAGAATGGTTCTTATAAAACTCTTATAAAATTTTAAAGTGTTTCCGGAGAAAATGTAAACATGTTTTTTTCAGATCAGAAGAGATTCAATTAGTCAAATGAAAAGAAACAAGCCACCAAAACAGAACTGTTAATCTGTTACCCATCGTGTTTAAATTTGAATGCAGTTACTTCAGTTCATGTGCACGCAAATAAAACATTTTAAATAACTTCTCATTTTAAGAACTGTATAATCACTTGAAAATCTTCCACAACTTTTCTGTGTTGGAAGCAGCTCCTCTACTGGCAACAAGGTTCCCTGTGTGACAGTCACATCACCCACTGCCTGCCTCATCTCGTGAATTCACTTTGTAGTAAAGGTGTCAGATACAAGCTTGTGGTCTGACACAAACATGTGTAGTCTTCTTATCTGTCCAGTCCAGTGTTAAATGAGATGGAGCCAAAGACATGCTTAAGGTATGATATTCAGGCTTTGCTGCAACCCTTTCCAGATTTGAAACAAAGTAAGAGGGCGACTTCACAGAAATTCCTCTGACTGGCACAGCTACAAGTGACTCGAAGAGTACAATTAGTCACTGTATTTGCAAATGTCCGTGCTTCAGTAAATGTTTGGTCTAGATAGAACGGGGGAAAGACGAACAGCCCGTGTAACATTTATTAGCAAGACAAAATAGAAAAGCGAAACAGGAAAGACATATTTCTACACTAGCTTGGTGATCATATATTCAATACACTGACCTCTTTTATACAGTTCATAGTAACACGTGTCAAGCATTAAATACACACCAATAAATTTACAGTGGGAGAAATAACAAAAGCCATAGAGGATGACGGGTTTGGGTCTGGCCTCACAGGGAGTGAAGGCAGAGACCGAGTGGCCACATAACGTGGCAGCTGACTATTTAAAAAACAATTTAATGCGACAGCTGTGTCCCTCGGTCATAAACAAACAGCAGGTTTACTCTGTTTCAGTGTTGTTCCACTGTGCTTTTAAAGTATTTATTAAGGCAGAGAGTAAAATGTGGAGAGAAAGAGTCTCTTATGGGTGTAACACAATGGTGAGACTTGTTTTTCACTGGTTATGTATATAATCAGTTTTGTATTCTTGTTTGCCTGTTTTAGTTAAACAGTGGTAATTTTATTTTGGTGATTTTATGACCTACAACACTGTTTCTAAAAAAAAATAAGTACACTTTGAAAAATAAAAACAGAATGCAATAATTTAAAAATAATTTAAAACCTATATTTAGTTAAAAATAATACAGAAATATATCAAACTGTTTTTTTTGTTTTTTTTAAAAAGCTCATTTAATGTTTTGCCAGCAACACTTAAAAAAAAAATTAGGAAGGAGCAACAAAAGATAGCAAAAGTGGTTCAAAGCCAAAAAAAAAACCTCATTATGATTAAACTTAATGAATAACATTATTATACATAAAACGGAAAACCTAGAAAAAAAAAAGTGAACCTGAAAAAGGTTCACAGTTGCACACACAAACTTTGGAAACACATAAACTTTAAATAAACCTCATTTTTTCATAAACAGGATCAAGAAACACTGCCACATATTGTGGGCCTGACTACAGCCTAGTCTTTGCAATCAAAGTCATGGATACTCTGACTTCTCCAAGCTAAAGCGCAAAGTGCACATTAATGATGGGTAAAGCGAGGCTTTGTGCAAACATTCAAAGCAATTGTGTCAACTGTTTCGAGACACTCATCCCTACAGTGACACCTACTGGCCAGTTTTGCTATTGTCACAGGTTGACAATGCTCTTCTTCTCTAAATGACCATAGAGAAAAGTGTTGCACACTTCTACCACTCTATCAATAATTATGAACATGTTTTGAAGAAATGCCCATACAACAAAAGGAGAAAAACCTGTAAGAACCTTAAACGACAAAGCTGTGACTGTAAGCAAATACTATTTCCTCCCTTTTAAGTTTACATAAATGTGGTTGTTTCCGCTGTTTTGAAATTCAGTGAAATGTAAACAAACCAATTTATAAAATGTTTGTTTATTGTGACAACAATTTCAATGTCACCTACTTTGTAGGTAGGGTGTAGATGTAGAGGTGGGGAACTCCAGGCCTCAAGGGCCTGTGTCCAGCAGGTTTTAGATATCACCCTGGGTCAACACACCAGAATCAAATGATTAGTTCATCATCAGGCCTCCGGAGAACTTCAAGACATGTTGGCGAGGTAATTTAGCTATTAGAATCAGCTGTGTTGGCTCAAGGACACATTTAAATCCTGCAGGACACCGGCCCTTGAGGCCTGGGGTTCCGCCACCCCTGGTGTAGAGTGTAGGCCTCAGTGATCTTTATAGAAGATGTTTCATTTACAGTGGAGCGAATGTAGCTAATTATACCAATGAAAAATTAACGTCTATGTAAATATGTTTATTCACAAATATTAGTTTTTCAGCTGTTTTGCGGATGAGTTGGCTTCTTTTTTTGTAACTTACCTCCCTAGACGTGGCAAAAATCTTTTCACACTTACTGTGGGTATACACGGGTATTTTTTGCCAAGCTCTAAAGGTGTGGATAAACAACACCTTATTCATGCCATCATCAGTGACCTCTACAGTGGCATCAGCAGTTGCACTATGGGTGCTATGAGTTTCACTAACCCAGCTGTCAAAAATTTCCTACAATCTCTGCTGAGTCCTGAGCTGTGGTTACTGCTGCCACTCCTGCTCCTGGTCTCGGTCCAGCTGCTGCTGACTTTCAAACTTTCTGGAAGTTTGTGGTGACACCTGGTGTGGTATCACCCTCAGTTGATACTAACAATCAACTGAGGGCGAACGCACCAAAACTTGAATTAGCTGTGATCACATTATGTGGGTGTTTTGAACTGCACTGTGTTTCAGAAGATCTGCGCTTCACAAGCTCAACACAGCAAGTTTTAGTATGGAGCATCCCACCCTAGTGCAAATGTCACAGGTAACATCTGTAAAGGGCCCACTAATCCTAAATAATATGAAATGGTGTATTCGGGGCCCGATTTTTATTTTTCACTTTAGTTTTAGTAGGGTGACTGGACAAAATCTGGAGTTGGGTGATTTAAGAATGAAAAAAACTGGACAGCAAATATGCCTCTTTTCTTAAGAAACATTTTATGAAGCCCCTGTAATGAAAGCATTACATGATCATGTATATCAAAAAACAAAAAAAAAATGCATGAATTTTGGGGGAAAAGGAAAAAAAAAGGTGGAGTTGGGAGTGAATTTCCTGATTCAGATATTCATTTTCTGGATGCTGCCATCCAGAAGTGTTTTTAGTAAAGGTCTTGCTCATTTTAGCAAGTGTGCCAAACTTCTGCAAGTATTACAACGGCATGCTTCTGTCCAGATGCTACATATTAGTACAGCTTCATGAAACGTATATTTTATAAACAGTTTAAATCCTCCCCCACTCAGACCCCGTTCCCAACTTTGTGTACTTGGATGAGGTGTTACAATAATTCATGAAACCACTTTTCGAGTCTATGCAAACTTCACAAAGAGCAAGGCCTGATCTGCAATCCAAGTTTACTTCAGTTTACCTCATTTGTCAAATTTGGACTGTTAACTAAACCCCAACATGCTCATTGCTCAGTCCTCACGTCACCTCGTCTCCTGTAACCCAGGCAACAAGAGCGCTAAAAATAACTAGGGACCCAAAGTAGATCAGCCATTTTCACTGTGGCCTGTAATTCCCTGCATCTAAAGAAAGGTACATTTGAAAAACTTCATAACAGCAAAGAGTGAAACTGCCGCTTGCTTTAATATATTCAACATTATGCCTGTTTCTCAGGTAGAAAGAAAACCACTTGGGCAAATGACTCAATATGTGTTTGCTGCCAGGAGAAGCTGAAAATCAGGGGTTTAAATCATTGTCAATCTTCATTTTGTGTGATGGCATGAAACATGGCATGATCTCAAAAGATAATGTCAATTACATTAATAGTTGCATCATATACAATAATTAACTTGAACACCTCATATGAACCCCAGTCCTTGTTTCTACCTGAGAAACTCCAAATCAGTAGAAATAAAAACTATTTTTAGAGTAATTAGGGGTAAAACGACTCTATAACAGGCTACAGAAGCTAATCGTGTCAGCTAAGAAGAGGAAACTGATGCTATAATTCACACAGGCTCACACGGATCCTTCCCACCTTGGATCAGCGGTTCAGGTGTGTGGTGGTGTAATGGAGTGGGTGATTTCTTTTTAATTTTGTTTTGTTTTTTTTGCCAAACTTTGGCACATTTAAATGCCACAGCCTACCTTCTTACCCACATCTTTTGTTATTTGCTCTCATCATCACAAACACAGTCAGGAGATCTTCCTAACGTAATGTGCAGTGCTTCAAAATACAGATTTATATAATAACAATTTAATCTTCTATGTATAAATAATTTCTGATCTCTCTCGTGTTTTCAAGCAAATCCATTCAAAATATGTCTTCTTTAAATGAAGACATATAGGGCCTATTAATGCCAACTCACCAAAACACAGAAGTCCACTTACTTGTGCAGTACTGCTATCTCATTCTCAATGCTGTTTTCCTTGCCCTCTAAGGCCTTCTTGGGGATACACTTGACGGCCACCAATTTCTGAGTCCTCTTCTCCTCAGCCAAGACCACCTCAGAGAAAGCCCCGCTGAAACACAAACACACAAGTCTGTTAGACCTGAGTTTATTTATCCCAGGTGCTTCAGCTTTTCACATGTGTCGCTGACACTCTACAGAAAATAAGAAATTCCAGCTCTGATGTTAAACTGGTCTAACTTTTGTAATTCTTGGCTACCAGCATCTAAAAGCTAATATAAATTTTAGCCTGCTGATGCCAGATTGTGTTTATTTTTAATATCAGCCGCCTCCCGAAGCCTTTGGCGTGCTGAGTCAAGTTTTGGAAAGACTACAACCTGGTGGGATGAGTTGGAAGCACCAGTATTAAATATCGAGGTTTATCTCAGTGACAAATGTTGATACTGGCCAAAGGATTTTAAGTCTGACTCATGTAATGCTGTATATCAGTTGTATGCTACAGTTTACATTGTCACAGATTGAATAATGGTGTATATGAAAGTCCATATGAACAATAAATGGGGAAAAAATTGCCTCAGAATTTTTCCCTGTTTTGGATGTATTGCAGGCTTCATAAAACTTACTGTTATGTTATAAAATTCACTGTCTTCTTATTTATCTGTATTTGTTTCTAATTTATCTATATTCAGGGGTGCACATAAGTGGTCCGCAGGTGCGCATTCGCTGTCAAAATAAAAGACGCGCACTAGATAAGAAGTTGCAACGCACGTTTTTTCCACGGTATATTCTGCACCACATCTCTGTGCGTTCATCATTTGTTTGAAGCCAGCTCACCTCCTGCAACCACTGTTCCGAGAATACGTGCTTCTTTTGCGGTTTGGACTCCTTCGGACATTTCTTTGGTGGTGGAGGAGCACCAAACTAATTGCTTAAAGGAGCTTGCTTCTTCGCATCTTTAAGAGTTCTAAACAAAGAAAATCTTACGTACGCAAACGCGCGTTGCAACTTCTTATCTGGTGCGCGTCTTTTATTTTGACAGCGAATGCGCACCTGCGGACCACTTATGTGCACCCCTGTCTATATTTGTTTCTCTATTGTTTTCTCTTGTTTTAACCGATTGTGAAGCACTTTGGTCAACTCCGTTGTTTTTAAATGTACTATACAAATACATTTTGAATTGAATTTGAATTGAATTTTGCCTTTTACCATCATTTACGTAAAGAACCCAGGCTTTGACTAGCTGAAGTACTGCAACGACAAATCTGACAGCCTTTTACACTTTTTTCTTTTTTAGTCTCTTGGTTTCTGTATTCAGGAAAATCAAAACAAGTAAAGCATCTGAAGTCAGAGTAGCAAAAGAATAATAGCACTTTCCCATGACCCATTTCAGAGTGGAGGTGGACCTCGAGCATTTTGACCACAGCCCGAAGAGTTCTGACTCAGCTCCAGTGCTGTTCAATAGCTATAACTCCTGAGCCACAATGGTAGGCTTTGACACCGCAATACAACAGAGACAAGGTCACGGTAGCTTCAATGCAACGTTTTGGTTTCTTCATGTGTAATGTAACTTACTGTTTCAAACTGTGATGATTTTAATAAAATAAAAATAAATAAATAAGCAAGACTAAAGGAAAAAACATTGGTAACATAAAAATGACATAACACTCTCCCTGCAGCAGAAGGTCTTCTGATTACTGATTTGTTTAGCCTACTAATCACTCTACCATATATTAAGCTGTACTTCACATACCAGAATAAATAAAAGGAAGAGCTTCCATGAAAAAACTAGGGTCTTCCTGATTTTTAATTTTTCATATTTTCCCATACACCTAAATTACAGAGCCTTTTTAGGGGGAAAAAAAACAGATGGAAAGACCACTATGGCACATAATAATCCTGGTAATTAGCCCTAAAGCTTAACATCTGTGCATCCCATACCCATGACCTTATGCTGTGTTTACAACACATAGGATAGACTGTTGGGATGATGAAGTGGGTAGTGTCGGGTATATATTTGGTTTTCTACTAAGTGCTAATGTTGGATGAATCTGAGCGTTTTGAAGTGAATACATTTCTTACAGTAATGTGTAACACAGGCAAATTTATTAATTTCAAAGCTTTTGATACTCTCATGCTTGAATTCACTGGATCATTCTCACTGATTTTTATGAATTTTTAGAATAGAATAGAATTCAACTTTATTGTTATTGCACATGTCACAAGTGCAGGCAACGAAATGCAGTTTGCATCCATCCAGGAACTGCTTTAGCCGTAATATAGATATATTACAAAAATATATATTAGCAATAATATATATATATAGATATATTACAGGAATGGGTCTATTATAGGTCATTTTTGCAATGGTGGTTCTTCCAAAAGTCTTATTGCACAAGGTCATCACTCTCAGTCAGTTTATGTATAAAGTCCATTTAAACACAACACAGTGCTAAACAGCAAGTAATAACAAGAGTGAAAATGTTTAGAACAATAAAAATAATGATTTTATCCAATATTCTTCAGGTAGGAGTGTCAGGCAAGTCATTACACAACAAACACAAAAATCTGATTTTTTTATATCTCACCTGAAGGAAATCTGAATTCTAGTAAATGATGTGTAGTTTTACAGGAAAGTTTACATAGCTTGAAATAACTCACAATGATGTCTTGCGGTAAAGCAGTAATTCACACTACAACAGACACTGACAGTAAACAATGTTTGTTTTTTGTTTTCTCAAAAAAAAAAAAATCTATGATCATTTCAGTATTAGCTGCCAATACCATGTTCAAACATGTCCCTGTTTTCTTAAAACCAATGGCACGATAAAAACTCAGATCAAAAGTGAAATCGGTTGTTATCGCTCTGGTTCCAGGCAGTTGTTTGTGTAGACAGAAAGGAAGGACATGAATTCAGTCTAGAGATTTACAGATTCATTATTACTGCCAAACATAAAGACTTGTTTTCATACCAGCGACATCTGAAAAAAAAGCAACTCTCTCTTCTCTGTAAAGTAATCCTAGAAAAAAAGAATCCTGCAAAACACATTTACATTCATAATTCAAATTTTAATTTTAAATAAAATAAATAAATTCTTGAAAGAAGGCTGATTTTGCCTAATGTAATTTATGGCTCATGAGTTATATCAGGATTTTCCATAAAGGGACACTGTGTTGGCAAAGGTCGAGTGCACTGAGCAGTGATAGATGTCGCCTGCAGTCCTATTTTGGCTCAGCGTTTGTGTTCCTGTTTGCATTTCGTGCCGTATTTATAACAGTTGTTTGTGTCTTTTGCTTTAGGAAATTACTTTCATAGTGAAATAAAGCCCATGATCAGTGTAACAAACTCAAAAATTGGGTTCCCATTTTGCTACTACTATTGAAATACACGCTGCCATGCATGACATTGTGAGATTTCAATTTTGACATGACAGGCATTGGTGCACGCTGAATAACACTGGCAATGGCTTCCTTACAAAATAACTACAGTGAAACTGCTTGCTTCCTGCTTACGTTTAAAGAAATTGAATATGCAAACAGAGGGCTTACAATTACCTTTTTTTAGTTATCAAGCAAAATTCGTAAAGACAACAAATGAACAGTAGTTGAGCTTAGATACATATGTTTTACAACGGGTCCTTCCACAAACTTTATGCAGTGACCCTCATGCAGGTCTCTGGTGGTGTTAACTACAAAAACCCAAAGAACCCTGAACCCAGATCTTGATAAGACTAACTGTGAGTGAGGCTTTGTGGTCGTGTGTCAACAAGAAACTAAAACTTGTGCAGGAATGCCATCTGCTTTGGCAGAAATCCAGCTCTGTGGAGGAGGTTGTCACTGCTGCAAATTCCTCTGCAGCATCTGGAGAATTTAGCTGACATTCTCCATGCTTCCACTGACAAACCAAAAGGGCTCTTGGGAAGTGTCAAATAGTGGTTCACAGAGACGGTCTTTGACTACAGATATTCAAGGGGGGGGGATTTTATTTGTTTCGCAAGATAAAAACTGTATAACCATTTTGCCATGTGAAATGATCCTGATGTATATTTGCCTGACTTGAATTGTTTAAAATAACTTGATATTTATATTTAACCACATTTTGCCATAACCCCCCCCCAAAGAAAAAAAACCAAAAACCTTTTACGTTCTTGACTTCCCATCACAAAATAAGACTGGTCATTGTTTTTATGTAGTTCCCAAAATTACTTCCCTATTTTCTGAATATCAGGAAACAGTCCTTCACTGCGTTGGTCCTTTAAAGTGACACTTTTACTGAGCAGCAGCCTTGACAGCCACTGTTTAATAAAAACAGAAGAAGCAGACACAAGTTCAGCCAACTGCCTTCTATGCTTGTCACCACACAGGGGATGCCAAAGAAATGTAGCAGCAACCCTCAAGTACTGTTGTTATACAACTGTTTTACAGTAAATTATCTGAGTATTATTTGATGTGTCTGCAACTGGCACCGTGCAGCCTAAAAAAACATGAAGAATATAGAAAGGATGGCTGTGTCGGGTGAGTTTGCTGAAGGTTAATCCTAACCAAGGTTTCAGTTGGATTATAAGGTAAACAAACGTGTTTACAGAGCTGTTCCCGTTCCAAACAGGATGTTCTAATCGGCACCATGGGAACTGTGTCCAGAAACAGGAAACACTCAGTCCCCTCACCCTCACGCACACACAGGCATGCAGACATGGTACGACTGGAGAGCTATTAGCTGCTAAGCCCTTAATGAGGACTAGCTTGCCATTATACAAACAGTAGGGCATTTCTCAGAAAAACACTGTGTAAATACTTTACACAGTGGTTTCAATATATACATACTGTATACAGTCAAATATAGAAAAGACATATACACATTTAGGCCTCATACAGTTTAAATATTTGCATAAACTCCGTCTCTGTTGGTTTTACACCCCACCCAAACATTTGAATAAGATGCTGGGTTGTTTTTTTATTATTATTATTAATTTTACTCATCGTAAATGGTCAAATGTCAGCAGACCCCTCTGTTTCTTCTATTTTGAACACAACACCTTTTTTATTTTGTTACTGTTGTATTGTATAAAGTAAGTGTCAGTGATGATGCAGATATGTACAGCACATATGCCAATT